CTTTCACACAGCCCTTCCCAATAGTCTTTTGTTTCAAAACATCCACTGCTAGTGAATGGCAAGTATCTTGCAAGGCAGGGCTCTATTCAGTTTTAAAAATATATTTCCTTTTCTCTGCAGATAGCCCAATGCACAATCTCAGTTTTATTTCCTTGTGTCTATCAACAAGAGGTACCAGATGTCATCCATCTACTTTAAGATCTAATTAGAAGTTCAGAAATGTTAACTCTGAGAATATTTGAAAAGTTACATTTATAGATCATTCCTACTTGCCAGGCATTGTTACAAGTGGGCATATGAGAAATGGTATACAGACTTTTAGGGAATGTGTTGGAGATGCAGAAGGACTGTTACTCCACTCAAGAGACAATAATAAATTTACCTCACTGCAACAAGCTTTTGCCCCATCAGCAGCACATATAATGGTGACAGATGGTACTATAAAACATGTTTATAAGCCATTAATAACTGCAAATCCCTGACTTGCTAATATTTTAGAGAATGGTGATAATAACCAAAGGAAGCCATCATGCTTTATATCAATCATTCAGCCAATGCACTAATTTATATATCCAGGTAATGCATTTTAACTGTATATAGCTGATCATAAAGTTTTGTAAGTTCAAATTCTCTTCCTGACACTATCAGACATGAAATGATTTCTAGATAAATTACAGGTAATTTAGATTCTCATTATCTATTTTTGATTAAATGTACCTATGAAATATATTCCAATTATGTTTTTAAAAAAGCACTTTATTTAAATGGATACTTCACTAAAAAGTTGCGCATAAACAGAATTTGGGCAAATCAGATGTCAGCTCTCTTATTAGTATAGATTATACTCCACTAGCAGCTAGGGAGCATAGTAGATGGAGCATCGGGCCTGGAATCATGAAGGTTTGAGTTAAAATATGGCCTGAGGCACTTCCTAGCTCTGTCACCCTGAGCAAGTCACTTAACCCTCTTTACCTCAGTTTCCTCATGTGTTAGGGAAAAAAAATGAGCCAGAGAAGGAAATGACAAACCACTCCAGTATCTTTGCCAAGAAAATTCTAAGCAGTGACCAAGAGCCAGACATGACAGAAATGACTGAACAACACTGGCAGCACAACAACAATATTCCACTAGGGACAGACCACATCCAATCCAAGCTTTATCATCCAATGTGAGAGTTAATCATATTTTGCTTTAAATGTAGTAAGAATAATCACAACATTACAACATTGTCATTATGCACCTCTTTTCTTCAAGGGCCTACAATGGTTGTCTCCTTATATATAAAGTACAGATCATCAGCTTGACTCCACAATTTAACAAAATAATTGCTTTCATATTACTACTCAACCATATAAAAATAATATTGCATATGTTATACTCCATGCTTCACAACCCATCTATTCTTTCTCTAGAACACCAGGGCCTACACAACATGGGTGTCTTGCCATTTATCCCACAATTATCTATTCCTTCTTTACAAAAACTATGATTCTCTAGACTAGACCTCCAAAGACCACGCATCTACCTCCATGGGTTGTTGTAAGAACCAAATAAGATAATATTTTCAAAATACTTATTAGCACAGTGCCTAGCACAGAGCAGACATTTAAATATCTATTTGTTTCCTTTTTTCCTCCCTCCTAGGGTAGGCTAATCACTCAGCTTTGGAATTCCACCCTAAAGTTGAGCTGTCTTGATTGTTGAGTTAGTGAGAACTCACCTACCCCATTATATCAAAGTGACTCTAGACTATGCTTCTCATCCAATCCAGCAGCAACATAAAAGGACACCAGGACCTACTCAGTATAGGAATCTTGCCATAACCCCTTCTCCCATTTCTGTATCACACCTTGCCCCTTTCTACCTCTTGTTCTTGCTGTGGGAACAAAAGTCAACTCAATACCGCCAAGTACTGGAAAGAGTTTGACAGCTCCTAGGGCTCCAATTACAGTTTCTGAAATTATCAAGTCAAAAACTCCTTTCCTTGACTAGTATTCCTTCCCTTCCCCCCCCCCGGCCGTGTATTATGTAAGAATGTTAGAATGAAAGTTCCTAAATGTTTTACATAATTGCACATCTATAACCTATATCTTACCATCTCAGGGAGGGCGGAAGGAAGGGACAGAATTTGGAACTGAAAACTTTAAATAAAAATTTTATAAAAGAAAAAAAAGAGAATGGAAGTTCTCAGCTAGCAGGGACTGTCTCACTTTTATATTTGTATCACTAGTGCCTAGTACAGAGCTTGTAACTAGCATCTGCTTGATAAATGCTTATTGGTAAATTGATCAATAGGGGGAAGATACAAGGACTAGATTTCTCCATATGATTTCATTATATTGGGAATTTCCAGGTGGGGAAACTCCCACCTTCACTGCCACTTATAATGGTAGTAATTACAATATAAATAATAGTTAGCATTTATGTAGTGCCTACTGTCAGTCCAGCACTGCGCAAAGTACTTTACATATATTTTCTCAGTGATCTTCATAACAATCCTGACGTATAAGTGCTATTATTATTCCCATTTTACAAATGAGGAAACTGATGCAAACAGAGTAAGTGATTTGACCAAGGTCACACAATACTATGTGTCTAAGGCTGATCTGAACTCATTGTGAGTTCATGAACTCAATCGCGAACTGATTTTGAACTTCCTGATTTCAGGATCTGCTCCTGATCCACGGCACCACTTGAAAAGCTGCTTAAGTATTGCGAATTTAAGTGACTTGTCTAGGGCCACAGAACAAGAATGGGTATGAAGAAAGATTTGAACACTCTCTGGCTTTGAGGTTGACTTTATACTCAAAATACCACACTGGCTCTCAATTATTTATAATAATTTATAATAAAAGCTGCACTTCTTTCTTGATTGATCAATTAAACGTTATCACAGAATTTTCTCTTACGCTCACTATTACATGACCTTGAGCAAGTCACTTAACGATCTTAGGCCTAAGTTTCCTCATCTGAAAATTTAAGGGGTTGGGCTAGATGGCCTCTTTAGAATCTTACAGTCCTATATCTACGATCCTATTATCCTAATCTATCATTTAATACTTACAGCACTGGGACAGGCAGAAGTGTTCTCATCCATCAGATAATGAAACAGTAATTAATTTGACAAGGTCACCTAGCTAAGAATCTGTGGAATTAGGACAAGAACCCAAGTGTTCTGAATCTTAGTCCAGTATTTCTTCCTATTCTTACTCAGCATTGGTGACTTAAATGTTCTTTCCTGTTCCTCCTGGTCAGTCCAGTTCACGCCTATATTTGTAGGGCCATGCTCTAATCCTTCACTACTCTGGCTCATTTTATCTTTATGCTTCTCTGAATTCTGATAGGTCATATAATCTATAGTACAAAAATTCATGCTACTCTCCTCTAGTGTTCTCTATAATTGTTTTTGCTCTTGTCACCCTCACAAGAATGGAAACCCTTCAGTGTCAGACACCATGCTTTAAACATCCTCACACAACTGTGGTGATATCTTTGGTTTTTCCCCATATCCTCTCACAGCACATGCTTAACAAATACTGGTTGATGACTTCAGTGAATACTTTATAAATCAGAAAACATTCTGGTAATACAGTTACCTACCAGTTAATATTTTTTCTGAGTTTGCGTTTTTTTCCTATTGGGATTTCCTGGATTCAGGCACCCCTGCATAAGATTTTGTAGACAAATACATATTTGAAAAGATATGAAAAATGCAAATGTCAATTATATGGATTCAGAAAGATATCTAAATCTCTACTGTGTAGATACTCTACAAATACTGAAGGAAAATCCCTGAAGCAGCTAAATGGGCTAACAATAAGATGTATTTATTAACCCTTGCCTTGTATCATCGTTTTGAAGAGTAATGCCGTATTTCCACTTATTCCAGTGTTTCTATTTTGCCAGCACTATAATCCAAAACCACTCTCCCTGACAGAATACACAATGACTATAATAAAGTAAATAAAACCACCTAGATACAATGTCCATTCTTCACCACTAAATTACCACTAAAATAGAAATCAAATAAACACATTTTCCACAAAAATATTGTTTAGATTCATTAAAGATTGAAAGTTGATAAACTTTCCAAGATTCCGAGCTGAGCATCTTTGTTTTCTTCTAATATTTTTGCTAATATTACTGCACTGCACTGCAGTTATAAGAGCCTAACCCTGCAATAAGTGTTCATTGGAAAGATTTACCATCCCTTGGTACCATAAGCATCTTTATTTTTAATTCAGTACAAGAGTTTCAAGGTGAAAAAAAAAAGCACAGCACTAAATAGAATAGAACAATACTGCATTATTTGTCAAAAGGATGATACAGGACAAGAGTTAGTGAAAACAGACTATTATTAGCCATTTAAGTAGCTTTAGGGGTTTTCCTTCCATGTTTGCACAGTATCTACACAGTAGAGATTCTGCTGTATTTCCAAATCTCTGTAACAGTTGTTTGTGTTTTCCATACCTTTTTCAAATATATTTAGCAGCACAGTTATGAGGATGAGATTTCTCCATAGTTAATAGGAAGCACATTTCATTTATGCTGCTATGCAGTAAGCCTGGCTATACAATTTCCCATGAGGGCAGTCTTCTTCAAGAATTGCCTTTCCTCCCAACAGATGTATGTAGCCTCTTTGAGATGGAAAACATTAAGGCGTACTCCCACTTTTATACAGTATAATGAAAGAATTTAATTTTTTCCCTCTGAGAAAACTGCCATTTCTAATCAGGCCACATCAAGCTAGAAAAAATTGACCTGTGCAGTTATTATCCAACCAGCCATATAAAAATTATTTGACAGAATGATGAAGTAACTTTAAGTTACAGTAAACCTTGAAGAGACATTGCTATGTTTTCCCTTTTGTCACAAATGTAAAATTCTGGAGCAAAGGTATTGAACGTTGCAGGACTCTAGGTCTAGTGTAATTGTTTAACTAAAAACCAAAAACACAAAACATGGCAGCCAGAAGAAAGCTGCCTTAGAGTAAAACATACCCAGTTTTGGCGAAGTTTGTCCAGTATGTCATAACCACTGCACTAAGCATGACATCATTCTTGGAGAAGTTACAGCTGAAGAGTTCAGTAGGACCAATCATGGGAATGCCAAAAACATATGGAACTTCATCTCCATGGGCTGAATCAGCCCAGCTTGGTTTCATTTCACTTTGGCAATGGTGGTAGAATGCATAGAAATATGTTGGGGAGCCATACTGGGCGTGTAGGTCAGCTGTGGCAACAGCAGGAGCGACCCATTGATGATCAGTAAAAAGGGCAACCAGGGTCTTCCTTCGAGTTTCAGGGTTTTCTTTATCTGCCCAATCAGTGTACATGAACTTTATCGTCTCCCGGAGGGTGTCTTTGCCTTCTGGATAACCATACAGATTGTCCACAAAGTTGGAGACAGAGAAGTCAAAATCATTTGGAGAAACGCCATCTTCATTGTCAACAATACCATCAACAAACTTTAAGCCTTCCCCTTGGTTCACGCCAAGCATTATGTCATAGTTTAGGAACTCCCCCTGCTCCATTAGAATCTGAGGGTCATCTGGAATTACATCACCATCTATCACGGGCCCGAAGGCAATGTGGTATGTGGCTGGAGTAATGGTCTGTTGAATGAGTTCTTTGTAGTTCTTATTCCGAAGGCATTCAACCATGTCAGTGGTATCCAGCATGTTGCAGCCCACTTTATCTGCCAATATCCGAGTGTACTTGGCAGGCTGGTAGTTCACTGCCCAGCTGGACAGGGCTGTTCCACTCTGTATGATTGCCTTTTGGAACAGACCTGCAGGTGCAAATTGTGTACATGCAAATGAAAATCTAAAATATAAAAAAGCAGCTTTTACTGAGCAAAGAATGCTTTTATTGTATCTTAGGGATGTGAATTTCTGAGTACAGTAGCATTCAGCTATTTCAGCCTCTCTTTTACTCATTTTTTTCCATTTGACACTAGTTTTACTAGGAAATTCTTCTACACTACAGAGTTAAGAAAAGGAAACTACCCTTACAAGTTCACTCCCCAATGAAAATTCATACTATTCATCTACCACTCTAGAATTTTTCAGTTTTTACCTTAGAAAAGCTCCCACAAGTAAATGAATGTCAGAAGCAATCCAATTCTCTGTTCCATGTCAATATGCTTTTCACTAGTTTAAAGGTCAAAGGAAAATTATACACGTACCTCTTTCACAGAGTTACCAGGCGCCATGTAATTTAGGAAAAAAATGTTCAGCTAAAATCAATTTAATATGCTCAATTTGTGGGAGTATTTTGGTCTGATATACTTTTGAATTACTTGTTTCACATTTTCTCCCTTAACTGTAAATATCTGAAAAAAATTTTAATGTGTATTTGAAAGAATACTTTTTTCCATATCTAATTAAATTCTCCAATTGGAACTAATATGATTTTGTCCCAAAGAATTTATGATTTCCAAAAAAAAGACACTAGTTCCAAGTCCAGCATTTGCAAAACTGTCAAAAATACCCTATTTAGTTTAGGGTTCAGAATAAGCTAGAGCTGATGTGGTAAAAGAAATCGCTATTTTATGCCACTGCATGGATGTCTAGAAGTATAAAACCTCTATTTTTGGAGTATGTCAGGACAGGAGATATTGGCTTATAAAATCAGAGTGTTCTGTTCACTATCTTTCCTTTTTTAGACTTAAATGCTAGCCTGAGTTTAAGATCTGACATCTCATGAGCCACTGGAAGAATAAAGCATTAAATTTGATTCTAGTAGCTTGCACTGTCAACTTTTAAAATCATGGAAGCAATCAAATAGGTGAAAAAGATGATTTTAATCAGCAAGATGTGATTTTAAGAGAGGATGGCTCAGAGAGTAACTTGAAACTGAAATTCTAAATGGCTCCACGCTGAACTGGTAAGGTCATTATTTAGGAACTTTATGTTACACAGTCTATTTGTACTAATCTCTTATTATATTTACTTTAACATGGGCTATTTACTCTGTAGAGAAAATAGAGTGACCTGTATGTATCCTGTTGCAGGATATAGCGTAAGACAAGTAAAATGATTCAGAGTCTTTGGAAGTACTGCAAAGTCCTATCCAAATGACAGTCAACAAAATTAGAATGGAGCAAATGTTACTTAAAGAGAGAGATTTCTCAGAACTAAGATAAATCTTTTAGTTGATTTGAACTTGACATAAAAAAGACCAATCATTTTTTCAAGTACAGAGAAAACGTCAATCATGAAAAAAAAAAGAACAAAGAACACTGTCAACATTGAAGAACTGTCCTAAAAAGTTGGATTATAAATGTAGAAGATGTCACATGCTCCACCCATTCATTCACTTGCTGCCCTCTCAAGGGAAGAGTTCCACCCATCTGCTACAGTGAGGCTGCATTCATTCTGCTTTGCTGGGGAAGGAGTAGAAAAACAAGCTTTTCTAATCTTTTTCCTCAGAACAGCTTACCTCTTCAGTGCCTAAGGAATCTGATAAATTTTACTTTTTCAGATAAAGAGCTTAACCTTACTATCTCTCCTTCTTCCACTGGGACCAATCTGTACTATTTAACCTACGGTTATTGTTATTAATTTCCACTTACATATTGTACAAAAATGTAGTTCTGCTTAGACTTTTATGTGTCCTTGTATTAGACCTCTCCCAAACTCAAGAGATCAGCTGTCACTTCTCCAACTCCTCCAATCCCACCAATTCTCTAGTTTGCTACCTTGAACCTGACATACTTTTGGAAACCAGATTATCAAGGTATTGAAAATTGTTTGTTAAAGAAGCATCTCCAAAAACAGGAGATAGGGCCTAAAGAGTAAAGTGACATATAATGTAGAGGTCTTTGCCATCCAGTAACAGTGTTAGTCACTGAGATGCTTTGAAAATTAACTCCTGGCTGTTCCTCACATAAAACATTCCATTGCCAGCTTCAGCCATTTTCACTAGCTATACCCTATGCTTAGAATTCTCTTCCTCCTCATCTCTGCTTCCTAGCTTCTTCGAATCCCACCTAAAATCCTACATGCTAAAGGAAGCCTTTCCTGATTCTATTTAATTCTCATGCCTTGCCATCACTGATTATCCTGTACATATCTTGTTTGAACATAATCACTTGCTTATTGTCTCCTCCATCAAAACTGAAGTGCTTGAGAGCAGTGGTTGTCTTTTGGCTCACTTTATATCCTCAGTGTGGGGGCACACAGCAGGCACTTAATAAACGTGAAATAACTGACTAACTGACTAGAGTCTTTGGGACATCTATTTTGGGTGTTCAGAGACCTTTGTTCTCTGCCAGTTTCAGGGCTGCATCCCAAATGCTTAAAGCTGCCAAAAGTCTGACTCCCATGTATTTAAAATATCTCTAGCGGATTTTTCCCCCTTCTATACATTATTATCTCCTACATGAATAGATGTCAGGTTTTTTTTCTAATTTTGGTAAAAAAATTACATAAAACATGTCAAATGACATTATAATATGTTTTGATAATGGTTTGTTTCAGTAACTCAAATAAGCAAATGTTTATTAAATGATTACTAGGTCTTAAGTTCCTTACAGCACTGAAATTCTGAGTCTGTATTTGTCCTATGCGCAAAATACACCAAAAATCATTTTAAAAAATTAACATTTAAGTGCTTCAGTAAAATAATGTGAATATAAATATTGAAGTAAAATGTCTATCACTATTTTTATTAAGCTATGGCACAAGAATAAGGGAATTTTTTTTTAAGTCATGGCTAAAAGGTGAATGGTATTAGTACTCTCTGATATTCCCTTTCATATTATATTTACTATCTCTGCATCCACAGTCATTAACAAATAAAACTTAGACTGAATAAGGATTTCATAAATGGCTCTTATGATCATACATAGTAAAAAATAATCACAGACAAATTAGAATTTGATAATTTCTAAGAAAGGCATTAATGAGCCAACCAACATTACTGTTAAATCACAAATCTAAATTGATTCTTTTTTTTAATGGAAAAGAAAGTGAAACAAAAACTGGCCAGGGATAGGATATGGTAAGAAGCGGAAAGATGAAGAAGACAGCTCATACAAGTAGCACTACTTAGGTTTCTGCTGAATTTTTTAAAATAATATAGCTTTATCATTTAATTCAGATAGGACATTTCCTTCATGTTATTAAAACAAACACATATCTCTATTTCTATTTATTTTACTTTATTTTGATCAGAGTGGAAATCATGTTACCTTCTGAATAGTGAGACAAGGTCAAGAGGCTAACACAAGACGCTCCTGCTCCTGAGCCAAAGATGGTCACTCTTTTTGGATCCCCTCCAAAGGATCCAATGTTTTCTTCAATCCATCGTAAAGCTTGTATTTGGTCAAGTAATCCATAATTGCCTTTTGCTGCCTGGTCCCCAGTACTTAAAAAACCTATAAACAAAAAAAGGACTTTTTTAGTTATCAACTATAAAAAAGCACAAAACTAAATGTCATTATATTTTTTGGTAAACCATGTCTTGTGATTTATTTTCATAATAATAATAATAATAATAATTACATACAATTAATATAGAAATATCTTGCAAGCCAAAAGTGACCTTACATGTTAAAAATTATGACTCTTAGAATGCTTTGAATAGATAAATAAATGTAACAACATCATTTATGTGACTGTAGAATCTTTTAAAAAAAAAGTTTACATGAACTCTGATGAGATACCCTTCAAAGACAATTTATCCCAAAGGCATAAAGAGGAAACTGGATAAAGAACAACAAAGTAATGAAAAAGTAGGAGAAAATGTATATAACAAAATTATTTTCTCCATCAATGAATGTGGAGCCACAACATCTGCATAGTTCCTGATATGCTTCATGAGGCAATAGAAATGGTACTATTGAAAGAAAAAAAAAAGATGAGATTAGACTACATAGAGAAAGAGGGGGAGGATCAGGTTGGAGGAGACACAATTTTGAGTCTGAAAAACCAGGATCAGGAAACCATGGTCAATGGGCCAGTTTATAAAAACATAAAAACCATTTTTGGCCACATTAAAAAAGGGGGCAGGCTGGATCCAGCCCTCAGACTATAGTTTGCTGACCCCTACTCTAGATGGATTAATTCTTAAGATGTCAAAAAGAGAGAAGGATCCCACAAGCCTAAAACAGAACAAAACATGAATCATGTTTCTTGTAAAAGGGGGGGGGGGTGTCACGTAAAATATCAACTGCTCATCCATATGCTTAATTTGCCACCTCTGCACAATTTTATGAGAATAATCTACAAATATATTGTGGGTCTCATTCAATATTGATCCTAGCAACAAACCTATGAAGCAGGTGCTATTATGTACATTTTATAATAAGAAAACTAAGGCTGAAAGTTCAAGTGACTTGCCCAGGGTCACACAGTAATTTTCTAAGTGGGACCCAAACTCAGGTCTTCCTAAATAGATATAAAGCACTTATCGACTATGCCACCTGACTGATGAAAGTATGAAAAAAAACCAGGTTTTCAAAAACAGCATTCTATAGATCACTTTCTCAGTTACATAATTGAATCAAAGATATAGGGAATATAGGTCCTACTCTGCTTACTTTTTGTTTACCAAAGGAAAAAAAAATCTGCATTTAATACAGTAGTTCAAAATGAAACTTTCAAGTTCTTGTCTAACAGATGCTTCTCCTACAGAGATCCTTTGAAAGTTGTAGCAGCAGAGAAAATTGTGTTCACTAACTTTCTGATTATTAATATCAGTTAAAGTAAACTACAGTAGTATGCACTGCTTGCCAGAGATATTGAGAAGATATCTAGCATGTATCCCACAGGAAAAAGGGGTTGCCTATAATGGTTATAAGTCAATAGGGATTTTGCAGAAGTTTATTTTGAACAAAAAGTTTTCTCTCCATCATATCTAGTAATCTCTGCCTGATCTCAGTTGTAGGAATCCCCCAATTTATCTTTACTTGCTATAAAACAGAGAAGTGCCAAGTTACTGGATGATCCCTATTTTTCAAGATCAAGTGGCCAATATTATCTACAGAATTCCCCCACCCCAAAATCCAAAAGAAATAAAATCTACAATAATAATAACAATAACAACTGCTCTCAATTTTGTAAAAAAATTAAAATAAAAAAAATACTGGCCTAACTCAAGGAAACTCTTACCCAAAATCAAATCCACCATACTTCGAGTTTCCCAGATAGCCAGCCTGCTTGAGCTAGGTGGTACAGTGGATAAAACACTGGATTTAGTGTCAGGAAGATGAGCTTGAATACAGGCTCAGACACTTATAAGTTATTTAATCTGTTTCCCACAACTTCCTCAAATATAATAGGGGATAATAAAAGCACCTACCTCCCAGTAGTGGTGGGTGGATCAAATGAGATAATATTTGTAAAGCACTTAGCACAGTGCCTGGCATATAGTAAGCACTTAATAAATGTTTTCTTCCCTCTACAGATGGCTTCTTATGGGGGCTTCCTCCCTATTTTTAGGATCATAAGTTGTACCTCATCTTTCTTTTCTCTTGCTTTAATGAAAAGCTGTTCTGCTATATTATTACTTCCAATGGTGTTTTCTCTAACTACTGAATTTGAACTATCCCTGGTTTATAATAATGAGATATCTTAGATGCTCCTATTTCAGATGAAATTGAGCTTATTGCAACATGCTACAGAACAGTACAGTTTCTTACAAATCAGATTCATAAGCCCTCAAAGGGGTTTGGCATAACTACTTACAAATGGAAGGCCAAAGAGACAAAAAAACCCCACTAGCTTACACTACAGCAGCTCATATAGTAGACAGCCTATAAAACATATATATATATTGGACAACATCTTAAATAAGCTGAGACTAGAACTCATCAGGATTGCCTTTGGAAAAGTGTTCATTGCTTTGAATGATTCCAGGTTTCTCCTTGAAACAAAGGAAAATACTTTTAATTCAGTGAGAAACTTGTTTTCAACCCTGGTGTTGAGACATAAAAGAGGATAAAGTAATTGATGGTGATGCTTCAACATCTATTTAGATTAAGGGAGTTTGGGAGACTGTGATATAGGGCACATTTTACCTAGTGGGGACTATGCAAGTAGATAAAGGAGTAGAGTCAACATGGGAAAGAAAGTCTTTCTCCATGCTTTATCCTGCTCTCCCAGAGACAGGAGTTTCTCAGTCCCAGCAGAAGGCAGCTAGGGTGAGCAACTGTGGTCATGAATTCCTTAACAGTCAATGAGCTAGCAGTCCATGTGATTCTGAACCCCTACTGTATTCTGCTATCCCTTTTGCCTGTGTAGCTCCAACTACAACTACACTAACCTCAATACTCTTCTAATATGGTTTATAGTTATCAGTCAGAAAGTATCACAGTGTTAAAAGAATTAAAGTTTCATGTTTACTCTAAGGGATGAAGAGCCATGGGGTAGGCAATAGTAGGCTACAAACTAATTACCATTTAGGAATCATGCAGAAGAAGTCATATAAAGGATGTAATTAGAGAGATGCATAGTTGGAAAAGGAGGCAAGTTAGTCATGCAGTGGAAGTTAAAGATGGCCAGAGGAAAGTTCATATGTCTAGAAGCACCTTTACAAAGTCACGAAGCACAGATAAATTTCTGGACACACTGGGTAAAGCCCTTTGGGGAACTTACAAGAGATTAAAGACTAGACTTGTATAAAGTAGGAAGGCATGACTAGGTCACGATCCACACAGATTAAAAGAATGCTCATATCAGTATGGCCATATATCCACTTAAAGTACTGAAATACAGATAAAATTAATTTACACAATTTAAACCACAATCTTGTGAAGTAGTTGGTACAGCACAACAATGTCAAGATGACTGGGTAAACTTTGGGGGCTGTGCTTATGCCATATGGCTAGGATGGATGTGTGGAGAATTCAGAGAAGAGGAGAAAAATGGAGAGAGAGAGAGAGAGAGAGAGAGAGAGAGAGACAGAGAGAGAGAGAGAGAGACAGAGAGAGAAAGAGAGAGAGACAGAGAGACAGAGAGAGAGACAGAGAGAGACAGAGAGAGAGACAGAGAGAGACAAAGAGAGACAGAGAGAAACAGAGAGAGACAGAGAGAGACAGAGAGAGACAGAGAGAGAGACAGAGAGAGAGAGAAAGAGAGACAGAGAGAGAGAGACAGAGAGACAGAGAGAGAGACAGAGAGACAGAGAGAGAGACAGAGAGAGACAGAGACAGACAGAGACAGAGACAGAGAGACAGAGAAAGAGAGACAGAGAGAGAAAGAAAGAGATAGAGAGAGAAAGAGAGACAGAGAGAGAAAGAAAGAGATAGAGAGAGAGAAAGAGAGACAGAGAGACAGAGAGAGAGATGCAGAGCTTGAGAGGAGTGGGCATGTTTTTCTTCTTGAGAAAGAGTAACATTTAGCAACTTGTTCTCTTCAGCATTTGCATCCAAAGATTATGAGAATCAATGACTAAAAAAATGGAGGCAATGTGGGATACTGTAAAGCAGACAGTATCTTGCTGGGTAAGACCATACCCTCCCCCAATAGATGTTGTTGTCTCTACCCAGGCTACTTCCCTGAGGGAAGGTATTAATGAACTATCCCCTAACCCCCAGTATTTCAAGCAGGAAACTCATCTTGCTCTCTGCAGTCAGATGAATCCCTGACTATCTTATTTTCACTGTGCTGATCAGCTCCTATCCCCTACTGCCTGAACTGTTCACTCCTCCCTTTTTATGTTTTAATTCATTCTCCTTGATGCACAAAAACTATTTTTAGCATGCTAGCTTTGGCTACATGGTCATTTGGAGAGCAGTGGAGATGGGGGAGGCAGAATTGGACTGGAATGAACATAATACATTTACTCAGTGCGTCATCTCAGATGACAATACTCTAGGGCTATGGCAGTGGAATGACAAAGAGCCATCCCACTGCCCCATACTCCCAGCACTAGGCCTCTACCTTGCTTTAAGATAGCATATGATTATAAATAGATGAAGCAAATAAATAAACAAATGAAATAAACATGTTTGTTGACTGACTGAATTAATAGTATTTAGGAAATTTTTTTTCAGTGAGGCATTTGGGATTAAGTGACTTGCCCAGAGTCACACAACTAGGAAGTATTATGTGTGTGTCTGAGGCTGGATTTGAACTCAGTCCTCCTGATTCCAGGGCCGGTGCTCTAACCACTGCACCACCTAGCTGTCACTATTTGGGAAAATGTTCATAACATATGTTCAACTAGTAGCCTTTGAACCAGTGTTAATATTACTTTTTATAATTTTGTAATACATTATCAATTATTATATAAAGCATACATATAAGATTTATCATATACTAAGTAAATACAAATACATATTTATTTAATATGTTCTAAATAAAATATATACTTATATTTATATATATGGGCAGCCAGGTAACACAATGCTGGTCCTGCAATAAGGAAAACTAA